AGCTGGAACCCAGGCCTCTGACAAGGGGACAGCTGGTCTTTGTATGTCAGAGAGAGAAAAATGAGACTGAGAGTATGGAAAAGACAGGAGTCAGCTGCTGCCATCAGGGGGAAGAACCACTGCTGGGGTGATGCTAACAGGAAAGGGAAGCAAAACAGGAAGAAGCACGTACTTTCTCCTTCCAGCCTTTTGTCTTTCTTTCTTGTGCTTCCTCTGAAAAGAACCAAGTAGGGAGCTGGCGGCCTCAGAGCCGCAAAGCAGAGTGCAAAAGGGTGGGTTTGGGTTAAGAAACAATGGACTAGTCACCAACACAGTTCACCCACCCTTTTGACCACTCAGCATCCATACATATCTTTCTACACACATTTGAACTTCCATTTAAGAACCATAAAACATCATGTTTCACCTAATCTTGAACAAAGATGCTCTCATCTGCTCTCCAAACAGGGGAGATACAGAATTCCTCACATTTCCATTTTCCCCTCTATGCTAGTTGCAAGTTTTACACTTACTTGCTGTTCTTTTAGTGTTTACTCTAAAAATATCTTCATGTGTATTCAACAAAATCCTCTCCATTTATAAGTTTTTCAAGATGTTAGTTCTTTTTTAAACACCTAAATTTGACATTGTTACTGTACTTTTGATAGAGTTTTGATATGTTTACCTTTTTTTGTTTATTTTTCCTTTTCTTATCATTCCTTCTTGTATTTCAGACCTTCATTCTAGGGTTAGTTTTATTCTTCCTGAAGTATATCTCTTAGAAGTTCTTTTGAAGAGGGTGTCCTGGGAATCAATTCCTAGTTTTTGGTTTGTCTAAACAATAATTTTATTTTTGTTCTTGAAAGATTCTGCTGGACAAACAATTCTAGTGTGACAGTTATTTTATTTCGGCACTCTGAGGGTCTCATTCCACTATCTTCTGGCTTCCATTATTGCTGTTGAAAAATAAAAAGTAATGCTTTGGCTTTGTCTAATGATTTTCTCTTTAGTGTGCTGAAGTCTACTATATATCTAGCATGGATGTTTTAAAATATGTTCTGCCTGGGATTCATTGGGTTTCCTGAATTTGAGGAAGAATCTTTCATCAATTCTGAAAAATTCCCAGATATGATCTCTTCATATATGCTTCTCTCCCTTCTATTATCTTTTTTGTTCTTAAACCATGAATTAGGGACTTCCCTGGTGGCACCGTTGTTAAGACTCTGTGCTCCCAATGCGGGGGCCTGGATTCGATCCCTGGTCAGGGAACTAGATCCCACATGTGTGCCGCAACTAAGAGTTCGCATGCCACAACTAAGGAGCCAGCGAGCTGCAACTTAGGAGCTGGCGAGCCGCAGCTAAGACCCAGCGCAACCAAATAAATAAATAAATATTTAAAACCATGAATTAGATGTACGTTGGACCTTCCCACTCTGTCCCATATTTCTTAACCCATTGTTTATAATGTCTGTCTTTTTTCTCCCTGGGCTGTGCTCTGTGTAATTTCTTTCTTTTTTTAAATTAATTAATTAATTAATTTTTGGCTGCATTGGGTCTTCGTTGCTGCATGAGGGCTTTCTCTAGTTGTGGCAAGCAGGGGCTACTCTTCGTTGTGGTGCGCGGGCTTCTCATTGCGGTGGCTGTTCTTGTTGCGGAGCATGGGCTCTAGGTGCGTGGGCTTCAGTACCTGTGGCACGCGGGCTCAGTATTTATGGCGCATGGGCTTAGTTGCTCCGCGGCATGTGAGATCTTCCCGGACCAGGGCTTGAACCCATGTCCCTGCATTGGCAGGCGGATTCTTAACCACTGTGCCACCAGGGAAGTCCCTGTATAATTTCTTCAAGTACATATGTGTTCTAGTTTCTTCTCCTTTCAGCTGTGATATAATCTATTTAATATGTCCACTGGGTTTTAAATTTTTCATATATGTAATTTCTAGTTTTTCTTGTTCAAATCTTCCTTGCCAATCTTGATACTCTGTTTTTCCTTCAGTATTTTTTAAACGCCATCTTCAATCTCTTTAAACATTTATTTATTTTATATTCAGTACCTTATAATTTCAATATTTATACCAACTCTGAGTATGGTTCTGAGGTTTATTGCTTCTGCTTGTGTGGTTTGTGGAACTCACGTTCCTTGGGATTTTATCTGTGGAAATTCTTTAAAGCCTGGGTTTAAAATGCATTTCCCTGGATAGAGTTAGTGTTTGCTTATGCCGTGTACCTATGGGAATAGCCAACGTGGGACCACTCTAAAATTTTGTCTGGAGGTCTTTCAGGTTACACAGATAGTACAAATTTAGGCTTTAAACCCACAGGAATATGGACTTACTGTTAGGAATTCTCAGGGGAAATCTTTTTCTCTTGATTTACTCATCATAAAGGCGGAGACAAACATATATTCCCACCATCTTTTTCAGATGGAGAGCTTTTTAAAAAAGTACCAACTGAAGGTTTGCCCTCAGGTTCTAGAATTTTTTATATAGGTCTCTGATCTTTCCTCTCACTCTGCTTAAGTCCCAGGACTTTTCTCCTGTGAACATGGTTCATTAACACCCAGGCTTCATGCAGTTAACCCCAGGAAAAGTACTGAGTCTAGAGCTCTCTTTACTTCTCTGGATTCATGTTTCTTGGTTTTGGTCTGCAAGGATATACTTAAGGCACACTGTCTCTCCTTCAAGAATGGCCCAACCAAGAGGAAGTGTCTGGGCCCCCAGGCCTCACCTGCTCTCATTGAATCAGAGAGCTAGTTTACATACAATTAACTGTACCTATTCATTTTTAAATTAATTATATCCTGTCCCTAGCTTTCATGGACAGCAAATTCAATTACTCATTAATCTCATAGTTCTCTTATTCAGAGAACAGTGAAGAACTGTTAATATCCTAAAACTAAGGAATATGTCTTACGGGCTGAATTGTGTCTCCCCCCACCCCACCCCCAAACTCATATGTTGAAGGCCTCATCCTCAGTACCTCAAAATGACTGTATTTGGAGCTAGGGCCTCTAAAGAGGTTAAGTGGACAACAAAAAAATGGTAATTACGTGAGGTGATAGAGGTGCTAACGAACCTGATTGTGGTAATCATTTCGTACTGTATGCATGTATCGAATCGTTCCATCATATACCTTAAACTTATACAATTGTTCTATGTCAATTATATGTCAATAAAGCTAGGAAAAATAAAAATAGATGCAATGTGGCATCCTACTTGGGATCCCGGAAAGGAAAAAGAACATTGGTGGAAAAACTAGGGAAATCCAGACAAAGTCTGAAGTTTCACTTAAAAAGCATAAAAATAAAGTAGGATAAGTGCTATTAAAAATTTCCAAAATACAGCAAGAGGGAAGAGATATGGGAACATATGTATAACTGATTCACTTTGTTATAAAGCAGAAACTGACACACCATGGTAAAGCAATTATACCCCAATAAAGATGTTAAAAAAAAATTAAAAAAATAAATTTCCAAAATACAATGAGAGGACACACCAGGAGCAACTAATCAGGACGCAAAGATTTCAAAGCAGAGTAAAAATCTGGATGTAATTTTTTCAGTGAAAAACCCAAGGTACCTGCCTCTAGAAACAGGCAATTATTCTAAAGGTTAACTGACTTGTTTTATGGTTGCTGTTGTTATTATTATCATTTATCATTTTTGTCTCTCCCTTGCTACACACACACACACACACACACACACACACACACACACACGCACACACACACACACACACACACACACGGACACTAAGCTTCATGATAAAGAGGTCAAATCTATATTATTCACTTCCTTACCCCCAGTATCTAGAACAATGCCTGGCATACGGTAAAACAATGCCTGCCTCGAAAAATATATATGCTGAGTGAATGAATGAGCCATAGAATTGGAAATACCATAATTTAGTCAGTCATTTCCCTGTTAACAGACGTTCAGATGGTCTCCAATTCAGATTGGTTTTGTTGTGATTGCCTTCTAGTGCTGTTATATACAACATATCTTTAGCTACTGAAGCATATCCTTAGCTACGAATCCCTTCGTTCCTGTAGTATGGATTCCTCAAGATAACACTTCTGTCACAGCTTTATGCCCCCTTTTTAAAAACTTTTAACAGGAAATGCCTTTCCTAAAAGGTTGTGATGATTTACTGTCACATCAGCAGTGTATAAAACTTTCTTTCCCCACTCTAGATAATGTCAGTTGTTTTAATATTTTCCAATTTGTTGAATGAATAATTGTATTTCATTTCAAATTAAATTTAAAAATCTTAAAACACTGGGAAAAAAAGAGGTTAAGTGGAAACGAGGCCATTAGGGTGGGTCCTAATCTAATCGTGACTGGTGTCCTTATAAGAAGAAGAAAATTGAACACACAAAGAGACACCAGAGGGAGTTCCCTGGTGATCCAGTGGCTAAGACTCTGTGCTTCCAATGCAGGGGGCCTGGGTTCGATCCCTGGTCAGGGAGCTAGATCCCATATGTTGCAACTAAGGGTTTGCATGCCACAACTAAAGACCCTAAATGCCGCAACTAAAGATTCTGCATGCAGCAACTAAAAGATCCCACGTGCCCCAACTAAGATCAGGCGCAGCCAAATAAATAAATAAAATATTTAACGAAATAAAACAAAAAAAAAACCAAAGAGACACCAGGGATGTGTGTGCACAGGGGAAAGAAGGCAGTCATCTGCAAGCCAAGGAGAGAGACCTCAGAAGAAGCCAAATCTGCCCACACCTTGATCTTGGGCATCTAGTCTCCAGAACTGTGAGAAATAAATTTCTGTTGTTGTTTAAGCCACCCAACCTGTGGTACTTTGTTATGGCAGCCCCAGCAGACTAATACTGTCTCCGATGCTATAATTTCAGACACCATCTTAGTAGCACAGAAGGAGGAACTATGATTTGACACTGGGGCCTTTCCAAAGCTGTTCCCATCACACCCATTGCACAGCCTGGTTTGGCAGACAGACTCAACAAGCCCAGGCCTAGGATGTGTCTCACTCATGTATCATGTTTCTTTTTTCAGGGTCCTTCTGCTCAGGAATGAATCTGAGGCCAGGCAACATCTTGGTGATGCTCCAGCCTTTCCAGCTGACTTGGTGTAGAGGACCTGTGGGATGTGCTGAGGAGGACTGAGGGAGAAGTGAGGACAGCAGGAGTTAGGGAGGGGGAAGGGGGGCAGAAGCACTCTCTCAGGCCCGAAACCAGATTCTCTGAATAGGTGTGGGTGAGGAAGGCATTTTATGACGTCTAGAAACACAGGGGGAAATGCAGGAAGGGAACGATGTCCAGTGAGTTTAGGACTAAGTGATGCAGAGGTGGCGCAAGCATCCCAGCCCTCTTTTGCCTCTCTTGATTAACTCGGGGGGCTCATTCAATCATAAATAATTGCATCTATTCACCTTTATTAATTCCCTCCCCCAGACTTCATGTATGACAAATTCATTCTCTCACTGGAAAAATATTTCCTGAGCACAATCAATGTATTGGGCATATAGCAGCTGAGCAGGCAGTCTCTGCCTTCACACAGCTCCAAATCTGGGCGAGCAAGCTCTCACAAGAGTGAATGTTTCACAAAATGGTTTAAAGACTTAAACATAAGACATGACACCATAAAACTCCCAGAAGAGAGCATAGGCAAAACATTCTCTGACATAAATGTAATGTCCATCAACAGATGAATGGATAAAGAAGATGTGGTACATATATACAATGGAATATTACTCAGCCATAAAAAAGAATGGAATAATGGCATTTGCAGCAACCTGGATGCAACGCAACTAGAGATCATCATACTCAGTGAAGTATGTCAGAAAGAGAAAGACAAATACCATATGATATCAATTCTATGTGGAATCTAAAATATGGCACAAATGAACCTATCTATTGATCCAGAACAGAAGCAGACTCATAGACATAGAGAACAGACTTGTGGTTGCCAAGGGGGAGGGGGGGAGGGAGAGGGAGGGACTGGGAGTTTGGGGTTGGCAGGTGCACACCATTACCTTTAGAATGGTTAAACAACAAGGTCCTACTGTATAGCACAGGGAACTCGATTCACTATCCTGTGATAAACCATAATGGAAAAGAATATAAAAAAGAATGTATATAAGTGTATAAATGAGTCACTTTGCTGTACAGCAGTTATTGGCCCACATTGTAAGTCAACTATACTGCAATAAGAAAAAATTGAAGAAAAAAACATTAAATACATCTACAATATCATTAAAAAAAAAAAAAGAATGAGTGTTTCAGAAGGGGCAGTAGGGGTGCTGCGGGAGCACAGGCACAGAAAGAACCAACTAGACCTGAAGGCCCTCAGTGAGGAAGCTGAGACCTGAAAGATGAGGAGGGGTGGGAAGGGAGAGAGTTTCAGATTCAAGAGAACTGGGTTGTGAAAGCCCTAAAGTAATTAAAGTATCAGTTCATGACACTGAGGAAGCCCCACGTGGCAGGACTGTGGAGTGACGGGGATGGTGGCCCAGGCTGAGGCAGCAAGCAGAAGCCTGCTGGGAAGAGGGATCTGGGAATGGGAAAGGGTAAGGATTTTAGACTCTCCCTGAAGGACAATGGTCTGGTCTCTGTGTGGGGTTCCAGTGGGGGACCTGATCTGACCGTGGAGTCCTGGTGGGGCCCTTGTCTGTCCATGGGGTCCTGGTGAGGCCCTGGTCTGTCCGTGGGGTCCCGGTGAGGGCCCTGGTCTGTCCGTGGGGTCCCAGTGGAGGCCCTGGAAGGGCCCACAGAAGGATTAAGCAGGGAAGTGACTACTAGATCATGCATGGATTGTAGAGCAAGATTTGGAAGGTTGCTGTTGTAGTAGTACAGGAGAGAGATGGTGATGGCTTGGAGGAGGGTAGCTTCTGTGGGGACCGAGAGAAGTGACAGATTTTGAATCTCTGGCACATGGGAAAGGATCTGATATGGAGTGAGGGAGCAGGTGGAGGTAAGTGTGACTCTCAGATTTCTAGGGAGACAGAAGAGCCAGGAGAGAAGAGAGAGGAGAGAAGAGGTCTAGCTGTTACTCTAGGAGGTCTGTTAAGGGGAAGAAGGATCTTTTTTTTTAAGAGTATGGAGAAGGAATAATAATATCTGGACACAGCTTTGGGACGCCAAGGAATGGCAGGGTGTATTACTGTCCACAGTGTTTGCTGTCTCTCCTGAAATATCCCCACTTGATATCAAGCTTGGCCATATGACTGGCTTTAGCCAATGAAATGTGAACACCGTGATGTACATCTCTTCCAAGCTGAAGCTTCAAGAGCCAGCTCACGGCTGTCCATGTCTCTTTTCCCTCTGCCAGGAGGGTGGCAGTGTTTCAGAGGCTGCCCCATCAGCCCAGGTTAACGAAGGAAGAAGTGGAGCAGAGCCCAGCCCACCCATGTTGGACATGGCACAAGCGTGAGTGTCTACCTTTATGTGAGTCACTGGGACTTGGGTTCATTTGTTTCCGCAGCATATCCTGATTACTTCTCTCCTCCTCCAGACCTTGAGGTGTTTGGCAAGCGGGGGAGATGAAGAGCCTTCAGTTAGGATTGTGGGATTATCTTTGGAGAATGGTCCTGTTTTAGTTAAGATAAGAATTGGAGGGAACATCGAGGGAAAGGTTTACAGGGGTTGCAGTGGAAGAGTTTGGGAAGGATGGAGTGAGGCAGGAGCTGGTAGAGCAAAAGACAACACAGAGAATGATGGAGATGAGAGAACCTGAGATGACGAGATGAGCTTGTGTTTGGGGGGATTACCAAGGGAAACAAAAGAGAGGAAACATGATGAATTTGGTCATGACACCCCTTGGAGGGCAGTGGGCTCTCAAGTTCAGAACCACATATTGCTTCAGAAGGTAGCCTCCTAGTCCCATCTACTCCCTCTCACTTTACTCTCTTAATGTTCCTCGTCATTCTTATCACAATCAGCTCACTTCTGAGTTGTTGGTGTCCTTCTGATAGAATGTGACTTCCATGCTGTAAGAGTCCGGCCTGAGTTGTTTATCACTGTACCCTGAATTCTAAGCACAGGGGCCCAGCCAGCTGTGAGATGGATGAATGAATGCATAAAACTTACGGATCCATCCTGTTCGTCATGGTCTCTCCCATCAGTAAGAAGGGTGGTTCTCAGCAGTCTGTAAACCTAGGTTTGACTCTTGGCTCATAGTTTTCTGTCTTAGTCATTGTGGGCAAGTTACCTAACCTCTCTGACCTTGGTTTCCTTAGCTTTAAAATGGGATACTCATAGATATCTAAGTCATAGGGCTCTTCTCAGAATTAAATGAGATGATTTATCTCATTTAAAGGACTCAGCGTGTTGAACAACTAGCCAGTTCTTTGGGACTTCTTCTGTCCTAATTTTAGAAAGGCGTCTATGCTGATACCCAGTGCAGACAAATATGCCAGTCCTCTCCACTAGAACTCCACACAGTTTTCCCAATCTCCTTGCTCCTCAACAGAGGAAAAGAGATTTGTCCAGAGACCCACAGGGTATACTGAAGACCCAGCCAGGGCTGTCCCCACTACGCCTTAGAAGGAAGTGGCTCTCTCAGCTAGTGAGGAGTGTGACTCAAAAGAAATATCCAGGAAAAAAAAAGAGGGGGAGAGAAAAAGAAAGAAAGAAAGGAAGGGAGGGAGGGAGGGAGGGAGGGAGGAAGGAAGGAAGGAAGAAAGGAAGGAAAAAGACAGAAAGAAAGAAAGAAAGAAAGAAGAAAGAAAGAAAAAGAAAGAAAGGAAAAAGAAAGAAAGATCCAGCAGGCAAGTGAGTGGATTCGTTTCCTATAGCTCCTATAACAAATTACCAAAAACTTAGTGGCTTACAAGAACACGAATTTACTGTCTTACAATTCTGGAGGTTAGAAGTGTAAAATCCCTCTCACTGGGCTAAAATCAAAGTGTCATAGGGCTGCATTCCTTATGGAGGCTTGAGGGGAGAACCCATTTCCTTGCCTTTTCCAGCTTCTAGAGACCACCTGCACTCCTTGGCTCGTGGCCCCTTCCTTCATCTTCAGAGGCAGCGTGACATCACTCTGAGCTCTGCTTCCATCCTCACATCTTCTCTGACTCTCCTGCCTCCCTCTTTCACTTATAAGGACGCTTGTGATTACATTGGGTCTACCTGGATAATCTGGAATCCTCTCCCCATCTCAAAATCCTTAGCTTAATCATGTTTGCAGCGTCTCCCTTTTGCCATGTAAGATAACATATGGACAGGTTCCAGGCATTAGGACATGGACATCTTTGGAGGGTCATTTTTCTGCCTACTACAGAGGGCAAGTTGGAAATGTGCTCTCAGGCCTCAGAGCACTCTTCGTCCCTCTCTGGTCTCTCCAGCTGTTGCTGATCTCATTTCTTTCCCCCCTTTTCCCATTTTTTTCCCCCATCCTCACAGCTTACTTTAAAACAGCTATCATCAGCTAGAGGCATTTGCTCCAAATTGCCTAATCCTTAAGAATGGTGGTCCAAGTTAAGGTCCCCTCTGATTATGTCCATTAGAAGGAGCTTGATCAGAGTCTCCAGGTGGAGCTTCTAGAACAGCACAGTCCAAGAGAAATAGAATGTGAGCCACAAATGTGAGTCACATATATCATGTCAAATTTCCAGGAATCCTGTTTAAAAAAAATACGTTAAAAAGAAATAGATGGAATTAACTTTAATAATACATATTGTATTTAATACAATGTATTGGACATACGATTTTAGCATGCATTTAATAGAAAAATTATTAATGAGATATTTTATATTGTCTTTGAAATCTGGTGTGTAGTTTATACTTCAGGACATCTCAATCCAGACTAGCCACATTCCAAGTGCTTAATATTGATAATATTATACTGGACGGTGCAGGCCTAGAACCTAAACTCTGCGAGAGCCCCAGGGCCTAGAACAGTCCCTGGAGCAATGGGCACTCAGATTTGTGGAATGCAGGAATTAATGGACTGCTCTGTTCAGGTTTAGGCTCTTTTTCAAAAGCCCTGGGCCACTGACTCAAAGAAGGAAGCCTGGTACTTCCCTGGTGGCACAGTGGTTAGGAATCCGCCTGCCAGTGCAGGGGACATGGGTTTGAGCCCTGGTCCGGGAAGATCCCACATGCCATGGAGCAACTAAGCCCGTGTGCCACAACTACCGAGCCTGCTCTCTAGAGCCTGCGAGCCACAACTACCGAGCCTGCGAGCCACAACTACCGAAGCCCGCTTGCCCTAGAGCCCATGCACTGCAACCACTGAAGCCCGCGTGCCTAGAGCCGGTGCTCTGCAGCAAGAGAAGCCACCGCAGTGAGAAGCCCACATACCACAACAAAGAGTAACCCCCTCTCGATGAAACTAGAGAAAGCCCACGTGCAGCAACGAAGACCCAACACAGCCAAAAAAAAAAAGGAAGCCTAACTGGGGGTGGGGGGAGTGGGGAATCCTGTACATCTAATTTGCATAATCCCTCCCGGGTGTGCTTGCTCTCCAGGCAACTTCCCTCTAGTGATTTCCACTGGGTCCGCTCTTACCCAGGCAACCCTTTTTAATTTATTTTTTGGCTGTGCCATGCACTTTACAGTATCTCAGTTCCCTGACCAGGGACTGAACCCAGGCCACGGCATTAGAAGCCCAGAATCCTAACCACTAGGCCATCAGGGAACTCCCTAATCCCAGGCAACCTTGAAAAATGCACCGTTGAGCTGTGCTTAGTCCTGTCTGGAAGGTAAAGGACAGAAAGAGACTCTCCATGGAGCCAATTCCCAGGAGACCAGGGGTGGGTGCGTGAAGAAGAAAGCCCCCAAGCCAGCCCTTTGTGATCTGGTTCTGGTCCCTACTCATCTCCTGCCTTATCACATTGTTCTGGACTGAATAATGCCCTCCCCCCTCAAATCTGTACATTGAAGCCCTGACCCCCAAGTGTGGCTGAGTTTGGAGATAGGGTTTTTAGGGAGGTAATTAAGGTTAAATGAGGTTATAAGGCTGGGGCCCTAATCCAATAGGACTGGTGTCCTTATTGGAAGAGGAAGAGACATGAAAGGCATGTGCACGAAGAGAAAAGGCCACGTGAGGACACAGTGAGAAGGTGGCTGTCTGCAAGCCAAGGAGAGAGGCCTCAAGAGAAACCAACCCTTCTGGCACCTTGATACTGGACTTCCAACCTCCAGAACTGTGAGAGAATAAATTTCTGTTGTTAAGCCACCCAGTCTATGCTATTCTGTTATAGCAGCCCCAGCAAACTAACACCTGCCTCATCTCTCACCAGTCTTCAATGCTGCCCTTCAACTCCACTCCATTAGTTCTGGCGTAAACCAGTGTTCCTTCTTTCGGAGAAGAACTTTTTCTCCCCCTGGGTGATACACAAGAAGTAGCAGAGCTAGCCACTCAGCTGGGTGCATTCTGGGGAGACAGAACTGCCCCAGAATAAGTAAAGGAGACAAGCAGGAGTGCCTGCTATGTGTCAGATCACTGTCAGTCACTGACCACGTCACTCCATTTAGTCCTTAAAACAAAACACTATGAAGTGAGTAACACTGACCGCGTTTCAAAGAAAATAACTCCAACAGTGAATATTTACACTCAAAAGTGTCAAGCACTGTGCTCTGGACCTAACATGCATCACCTCATTTAATCCTCACTGCGACGGAGGAGGAGGTGGGAACCATCATTACCACCACTATTCTATAGGAAAGGCAGGCAGGCCCTGGGCAGTTCAATCACTTGCCCAAGTGCACGGAACGGGCAACTGCCAAGTAGAGCAGTCTGACTCCAGAGCGCTCACTCCTGCCCCCTGCACTCCGCCTTCTGTCCACGAGTCACCGGAGAGTCAGGCAACCATTGCCCAAGTCAAGCTTGCCCAGGGTTAAATAACGATCATCTGCATTGGGCTGCATGGGAACTCGGTTTCATCAAAAGTGCTGTTACATTCACTCACAGGTGTCCACCCTACGAAAGATATTGTGCTACCAGTGTGGAGTCTGAAGACCAAAACCCACAGTTACTGGCTAAAAGGAGGATCAGTGTAGGGGAAGGATGGTCATGCAAATAGTTATAATCCAACTCACTGGAGGAAGATATTGAATCCAGTGGGGTCCTATAAACAGCTCAGTGTTTGCCTTGGAAGTCGTTTTTCACGGGGGAATTTATGCTGGAGAAAAACCAAACAAGACTGGTCATAAATCACTTAATTAAAAAAAAAAGTATTGCAGTAGAAACAGAAAAAAAGCAAAATCTCTCTCTTAACCACATAACCACATAAGGATCTTAATAGACTTTGAATTTAAGAACAAGCTTTGTAAATTATTACTGAATCTTTTTTTATCATCTTTATACGACTTTATAACCGACTCTAATTTTTACGACTTTATAAACCGTCTCTAATTTTTAAAGCAACCATTGCTTTTCACTTATGGATTTCATCTAAAAATATTTCAAGCCTTAAAAAAAAATT